GGCACCAGAGGAATGTTTTCTTCTTTTTCTCTTTGTCAGTTAGTTTGCTTTGTTTTCCTTTTTCTGATTATTTTTTGGTGGGAGTAGTTGTTCATGTTTTGACTTTCATTGTTTATTTTGTTCTATCCCTCTTGTTTCTCATTTTCCTCAGCTATCTTTCTAGATTCTTTGATATTTGCATGTGGATGAACATTGTCTCTAGTCTTTCTGGTTAATTTGATATTATTTTGCTATCTTTTTTATCCTTTCTTTCTTTTCATGTTCTCTAGTTTCCCAAAGCTTGGGTGATAAACCCTTGTCCTTCATCTTTGTTTCTACTATATTTCTTTTCAGTTATCACTCTGTTTTGTCTTCATCCCTCTTAAAGTTCCTCCACACACACAGGGTAGAATCATTCTATCAAGGGGAAACTCACTACAAATAAGTTCCTAGTTTCTGTTGGATTTTGTTATATAACTAGATCTTGGTACTACAGGTGAAGATACCAAATTAACAGTTAAACAGTTTGTTGGTTTTCAGGCTTTGCTTGATGATATTGATATTGTTAATTGTACTACTGTATCCAAAATGCCATACCTGGTGTCATCATTTGTTTACATTTGCATAACAACAATATCATGGTGTGGGGCATAATCATCATCACAGACCAGTACCAAAGGACTGTGTGCTGAGCCAAATAGATAGCAACTGCTCTGCTCATCCCTAATAAATTGTGACAGTAAGATTTTGGCACAGACACAAAGGCCAAGAACCAACTATACCTAGAAGACATCACTGAGAAATTCACATTTTCTAAACGGTCTTGACACCAGTGACAAAGATACCTAACACAGAAACTTACAAGCACCAATACAGAAAACATATTAAAATAAAAAATAAAAAATGACAAGACAGAGAATTAAAATATATCCCCAGATCTCCAGAACACTCAGGACAAATTCAGAGGAAAATGAGATAGAGGAAATCAAAAGCCACTCACCTGAATTATCTGAAATGGTAGCTGCAGAAGTTAAAACAACAACAACAACAACAACAAACAAATGATCAGGTTATAAAGAAAATCACATCAGAAATACTCTCAGGTAAAAAAAGAAATGATGAGCATAATGAAGGACAGGTTCAGTGAATGAAAACTAGGCATAGATTAAAAAATAGGGGCATTTAGGAAAATGATGGAAACAATAAATGCCAACATAGGAAAGTAATAGAATCTGTGAAACATATCCAAACAGATATGAAGAAAATGAAAAACTTCATTGAAAATTTGCAATATTGAATGAATGAAAGTGAAGACAGACTATCATACCTAGAATACAGGAGTGCAATTAGTGAGCATAAAAACAATGATCTGATAAAAATAGCAAGGAACGCTGAAAAATCAATCCAAGGGCTACTAGGTGATGTAAAGAACAACATAAAATTGACTGGAGTCAATTAAAAAGCAGAAGTCACTGCAAATGATAAAAACCTGTTTACAGAATTAATGAGAAAACTTCCCAAATATGGAAAAATAACTTTATATACATTAAGTGAGGCATATAGAACTCCAATTAGACATGACAAAAGTAAGTATATTCCAAAGCATAAAATAAAATTCCAGAAATTCAAAAGAGAACAGAATATTAAAAGCTGTTAGAGAAAAGAAACAGATCACCTATGAAGGAAAGTCTAACAGAATTACAGCAGACTTCTCAGTGCAAACCTTTAAGTCAAAGAGAGCAAGGAGTTAAGTATTTCAACTCCTGAAAGAAAACAGTCTGCAACCCAGACTGAATTACCCTGTAAAACTATCTTTCAGAATCAGTGAAGAAATAAGATATTTTCATGACAAAGAATAACAAGAAATTCATGATCACCAAACCAGCTCTATAAAATGTTCTGAAGTATATTTTGAAAAAGAGATAAAAGGACCACAATTCAAAGGACAACAACAGAAAGAAGATAACAGACAAGGCAAGCAATTAAACAGAGAGGAAAGATAGAAAACCAACAACAGGAAAATGATATGACAATGATAACCCAATACATATCACTTACAACCATCAATATAAGTGCTCTCAATTCACCAATGAAAAGCAAGAGACTGGCAGAATAGAAACAAGATATAACAATATGCTGCATACAAGAAACACATTTAACTCAAAAAGAAATATATAGATTGAAAGTCAAAGGATAGAAAACAATTCTTCATGGAACAGAAACCCAGAAAAAAAGCAGAGGTAGGTATTCTATTTGCAGAACAAGTGAACTTCAAGCTAACACAGATCAAAACTGTCAGAGAAGGTCACTATATACTTGTTAAGGGAAAACTCCAGAGAAGGATCCAACCAAAAAAGAGAACAAGGGGGCAATTTCTCTAATGAACATAGATACAAAAATCCTCAATAAGATACTAGCAAACTGAATTCAACAAATCATCAAGAAGATTATACACCATGACTAAGTGGCATTCATTCCAGGAATGTAGGGATATTGATACGCAGATCAATAAATGTAACACATCATATTAACAGAGTCAAAGACAAAAATCACATGATCATCTCAATAGATGCAGAAAAAACATTTGATAAAGTCCAACATCCATTCATGATAAAACCCTACAAAAATTGGAATAGATGGTCTTTATCTCAATCTCATAAAAGCCATCTTTGATAAACCAACAACCAACATCATACTAAATGCTTAAAAACTGAAAGCTTTTACTCTAAAATCAGGAGCAAGATAAGAATGTCCACCAACACCACTCTTACTCAGTATAGCTCTGGAAACATTAGCCAGAGCAATTAGACAAGAAAAAAAAGAAAGGAATAAAGATAGAAAAGCAAGAAGTTATATTATCATTATTTGAAGATGATATGATACCCTACATAGAAGACCCAAAAAACTCCACCAAAAGACTTCCAGATCTAGTAACCAAATTTGGTAGCATAGGTGTTTACAAAGTCAACATTCAAAAATCAGTAACATTAATGGACACAAATAAGAAACTTACTGAGAAAGAAATTAGGGAAACCACACCTTTCACAATAGCATAAAAAAATGTAATACTTAGGAATCAGTCTAATGAACAAAGTAAAATATCTTTACATTTAAAACTACAGTATTCTGAAGAAGCAGATTGAAGAGGATATCATAAAATGGAAAAATATTCCCTGCTTTTGGGTAGAAAGAACCAACATAGTCAAAATGGCTATACTCACAACATTGTTATAAAGATTTAATGCAATTTCAATCAAAATATCAATAACATATCCCACATAAGTAAAGAAAATGTTGCTAAAATTCATTTGGAACCAGAAGAAAATTAGAATATCAATAGTAATTCTGGGCAATAAAGGGAATGCAGGCTGCATCACATTCCCTGATGCAAAATTATACTACAGAGGTACTGTGATAAAAACATCAAGGTACTGGCAAAAAAATGACCCAAGGATCAGTGGAACAGATGAGAAGATGGAGAACCAATTCTAGACACACTCAGCCATCTATATTCAACAAGGTGGCTAAACAACCTCATGGAAAGGAGGATAGCCTCTTTAATAAATAATGCCGGAAAAACCTGCTTTCCCCATGTTGGTAAGTAAAACTGGAATCATTTCTCCCACCATGCACTGAACTAACATTAAAATGGATAAAAGATCTAAATATTAAAACAATAACACTAAATTTGTTAAAAGAGAGAATAGGTAAACTCTTGAAGACAAAGTAGTAGTAGGCAAAGAGTAGTAGTAAACCAAGGCTTTATGAATCAAACTGCAATTGCACAGGAAATATTACAAAGAATTAACAACTGGGATCGCATCTTATTAAAAAGCTTCTGCACAGAAAAACAAATCACCAACAGAATAAAGGGACAACCCAAAAACTGGGAAAAATTTTTTCAGCTGTTTCTTCACCAGACACTGATATCTAGAATAAATAAAGAATTAAAAAGAATCAAGGCCCCCAAATTTAAAGACAATCCAAAAAATTTTCAGAGTGAAAGTAGAAATGGCAAATAAATATATGAAACAACATTCAACATCTGTGGTGTTTTGAGAGATTCAAATTAAAATAATTGAGATTTCAACTCACTCCAGCAGAAAATCGCTATTATCAAGAAATCAACCAAAAACAAATGCTGGTGGGGCTGTGGGGAAAAAGGAACCCTTCTCTAATGTTGATGGGAGTGTGGACTTTTGCAATCACTGTGGAAATCAGTGTATAGATTCCTCAAAATCTAGGACTAGACCTTCCTTTTGACCCTGCTATCCCTCTTCTTACTGTCTTCCCAAAGAATTAAAGCAACATAATCACAGTAATATATGCTCACCCATGTTCATTACAGCACACTGTGTAATTGCTGAATATTGGAAATGCTCATCAACCCATAAATGGATAAAGAAGAGGTGGTTTTTATATAGTAGAGTACTACTTAGCCATAAAGAATTATAAATTTAAGACATGTGTAGGTACATGGATGGATGTAGAGACCAAACTCTTAAGGAAAATAAATCAGACACACATGTGCAAGTATCTCACTGTTTATCTGGTGTGAGAAAGTGAAAACATACGTGAGGACCAGAATGTATTACAGATATTAGAAAATAGGAAGCAAACATTCAAATGGGAAGGGACACAAGGAATGGGGAAAGGGAAAGAAAGGAAGGGAAAAGAACAAACCAAGAAAAGCAAAATAAAACGGAAACAAAAGTTTTGTAAATAAGAAGGGGAAGAGGGGCAGAAGGGAGCAGACAGGAACGTGGAAAAAATTAGAATCGAGGTATATCATGTGCGGGTACAAGTTCCATATGATGAATGTGATCATAATGTATACATAAACTGTACCAATATACTCAATTCATGATAAAATCATGTATTAAATTTGATGTCACATTCCCCAAATTGCCTCACTATTATGTAATGTTAACATGGATTAACAATATATGATAATAAAATCTATTGTAAAAGCTTTCTTTAATACCACATTTAATGTACTCATAATTTGAAATTACTTTTACCTTATAATCCAAGAGAGAATTTACTTGTTCTACTTCAGAATTACTTATCACGTCATTTTCTTCATCATCAATAATTTCTATTTTCTGTAATACAAGTGAAATTTTTATAAGTATGTCCCAAATCTTTATAACTATACCCAGAAACATATAAAACACACATATGGAATGTTTAACTTTAGTAACTGAATTAGCTAGTTTAGATTTTCTGCAATGAACTTTAAAAATTCACTAGCTCCTCAGCTATACAAAGTGTGTCTCTCAGCCCTCTTCTTCTAATTGATGATTGTTTTAAAAATATAAAATTGATTGAATAATACCCTAAATAGATATTATTTCCCCAACATCCTTGAGATAATTGATACTCAAATTCTGCTCAAATATCACCATTCAGTGATTAACAACTTGTTTCTTGTAAGAGTAGTCAATTTTAAAAGTAAATATATAATTCATAGCAAGTGTTTTCTTTTACGTCTTTATATGCCTGCTCCTTAATTCTAATATAATACATCTATCAATGGCACATATTCCAAAGGCAAATAGAATTTCTAAAATTTCACAAATTTAGTGAACTCCTTTAGCAATACAACACAAGTAAGAAACCTATGGTGTAATGATGAAAATTGCATGGTGATTTGCTTTCTTCACTGGAGAGTAACAAAAGGAGGGAGAAGGAGAGAACAAATGGGAGAGATGATGCTGCCATTAGCTTTTGAATTAAAGTACAGCATACCGTGTACATTATCTTGCACACAGTATGTACTAATTAAATACCTGTGAGAAGAATAAACAAAATAGCTCAGCACTCATAACAAAAATAACCAATGTGCTCCAACCATGCAGGTAAGACAAGCTGTCTAGTCATATAACTTTTTGTGAAAAGAAAAGACAAAAGACAAAAGCAGATCTAAAATTGTCTCTTACTGATAAAATCATAGTTAAGAAAAAAATCTTGAAACAATCAAATTCTGCCAACCCAAAAGAAAATTTCAAAAAGGTAAAAGCTGAGCTAGATTTAGTCAAAAGACAGGCTTTAAAAACAAGTACATTAACAGCAGCATGACATAGGCAGAATTTGAAATTAGGCATATATATATATATATATATATGTCACAAAAATGTTTGAATTATCATATCTGATATATCGCTTATGAGGATGCAGTGCCATTATAGGATTTCTGACATGTAGGCTTCTGAATCACAAAGTCAGCTTCAATGAAATTGATTTCTGTCAAGGTCTGGAGAGGAATGAAATGCCTTATTTTCTATTATAAGTACTATAAACTTCTGATGTAATCATGATGTAATCTCTCTAGACTTCAGATTTGAGGCTTTTTTGGTGATATGTATATTGTTTACCTGTTTGGTTTGGTTTCAGAAATGGAGTAAGACAATGTAGGAAGGAAGACATCAAAGGACAATGTATAGATTTGAATATATAAGTAGGTCTTTATGATGGCATAATTTGTCACCAGTGAATAATCCAGGGTACACTACACGTAAGTTATAGGCAGAGGAGATGAAACTTTTGGTTTTGTCTCTGTAAATCATCATTCTTGAAAAATTATTATTTTTTTTTTTTTTTATTTTTCTCCAGTACCGGGAACCGAACTCACGACCTTGCGCTTGCCAGGCAGGCGCTTTTGCCGCTGAGCTAAATCCCCAGCCCCTTGAAAAATTAAATGCTCAAGTGATTGTGAATCATTCCATGTCATGTTTTCATTAATTATTTTCAAATGGAATTGCTTCCAAGCAGTACAGAAATTAATAAAATGCAATATTAAATTATATTCTGTATGTGGAAAAACAATGCTATATATTGTTGATATTTAACAAATAATGCAACACTCTGTTTTATTCACTCAATTTTTATTAAGAGAGATGTGACAAGATTATAGTGTCAAATATATAGTATATGTAATGGAACCTGTGGTAAATCTTGATGTCAGTATTTTGGAACAGAAAAATCCATTATAGGGGCCATGTTTTAACAGTTGCAATTAAAATCATAATACTGATTCAAAATAAGAAGCACAACCACATTTCCCTTTACTTCCGATATTTACTCAATAGTATCTTATTACCTTTCTGCATTACCTGATGAGGTAAAAAAATAGGCAGGTTCCGTTAAAACAGATACTGTTAAAATGCTAAAGGAACAACATTATATGACTACATTTTTCACATATCCTATTTTAATTGACTGAAAGCCTACCTCTGCTTTCTATTCAAACTCCTAATATCTTTCTTCCTTTCTGTGATTTTTATCATGACTAACAGAATCCGATTTGACCAGAACAAAGGAAAGATTCCAAACACAATAGACATAGGTACAGTCTCAGGGAACTCAGAGTCATAAGTTCTTGGACGCAAGTGCAAGAACTAACAAAGACTTCTTTCATTATCTCAGGCTAAACTCCATTTTAATTCTGCTATCTCTCAAATGAGAAGAAACCTGTTCTTTGCTAAGAGTGTTGAAGAAAAAAAATAGGTATAAAAAACTATGTTTGTACTAAACATTAGAGTCATATGTTTGCAAACCTTTTAAGTCAAAAAATTGAGGTATTTAAAATTTTGTTGATGAAGCACTCAAAAAATAAGTTTATTGGTAAAAGTTGTTTTCGTTTGTGAAGTAGAACAGTATTTTAGTTTCAGAATGCCTACATAGTCACCAACTGAAGTATAATCCTAACATCATCATATAATGAGGAAAGAATTTCAAACCATACATACCACATTATCTGTGCATACTGCATGATGCTCTTCCTTCTTATGAGCTCTAGTCTCATTTGGAACAACTTCATTGTGTTCTTCTGTAGGGCAAAGAAAATATGATTTCATCTTCATACTTTAAAATTTTATTATGAATGCCTTTTTCAAGATCACATGTAATCTATTTATTGCACAAAGATGTAAGTGGGAAATTCAACTCACACATGCTTTGAAGAACAATTATACTTCAAAAACTGTATCCTAAGTAAATACATGTTAATGGATGCAAATACAAGCATAGTCACTAGAGTGTTATATAAAATAGATAAAATGGAAGAAACCTATAGTTTAAATAATGGAGGACTGAAAAAGTCATTAAAATCTACCCCTATAATAAATACTGTACAACTCCTTAAAATGAAGTAGAAGAATAGTTTATAATACAGTGAACACTGATGATGAATTGAAAAGTAAAAAAAGTGAAGGTGACAAAATCTACTGTGTAGGTAAGCATACTCTTAATTTTGTAAAATAAAAAGACATGTCTATATGGAAAAAAACAGAATGGCTCTACTTGCACTGAAACATTGCTGTTATTATCTCTAGATAAAAAATATGTTTTAAAAAATTTGTCTTCTTTTTGTTTGTATTTAAATAGTTTTCTATAATAAATATGTATTTTGTATTATAAGAAAAATGATACAATTTCAAATACTTGGTAAAACACTAAATGTAGCTAATTTCTAACTGTGTGAAAGCATGGATATTGGTGATTACATGTGCACTTTCTGTAGACTCTCTTGCATTTGCAAAGAGAAAAAAATGGCAAAAATATCTCCTCACTCTATCTCCAGGATAGGCTTATTTCTATTTTTATTGTTTCCCAATATTTTCTGCAATGACTACATTCTTGTTTTCTGATCAAATTCAATATTTTAAAGTAGATAAAGAAAAAAATGAGGAAAAAAATTAATTCAGAGAAATAAATCAACTAAAATATTTTCCATGCTAAGCTATGGGATGTGGTTAGTTCAAGGCTTTGGATTTCTGCATGTATTTACCTCCCTGTTTTAGGTTACTCTCACTCCTTCACTTTAGAAATACAATTTATGGATACCTCTCCTTTTTCTACTCTGCACAGGATACAATAGGATGTTATAGTACACACATATATAGTACAATGTTTACTAAATTGAAAAAATAAGCATCCACCCATGTCACGTAGTTATCCACACTTGAGTCAACTGTAGCTATAATCACTTAGCAAAAATCCTGAATATAGTATATTATCATTAACTGCACATCTCTGATTCTTCACTAGATCTTTCTACTTATTCATCTTATGTATTTCCTACTTTATAGCATTTGCCTGTTGTTATGTTTTACATCTAGATGTCCTCCCAAATACTCATGCTATTATACTTGGGGTTTTTTAGAGGTGATTGAATCATGTGGGTATGATACTCATCACTGAATTAGTCCTCTGATGAAGTTATAGTATATGTGACATTGGGAGATGAAGCCTAGTTGAAGGAGGTGGGTCACTGGTGGGACTGCCTCCCTCCTCTCTCAGTTGCTCTCTGCTTCCTGCCTACCATGCTACAAGCAAGCCTCTTCTGAATGCCACCTGCCTTGGAGCCAGCTGGATGGCAAAGAAAACGTCTAGATACTGGAAAGCTCTACAAACCATCAATCAAAATAAACCTCTTCTCTAATTAATGGGTTTTGGGTAGTGTGTCCCAGTGACAAGAAAGTAACTAAGACAGATTCTAGCATCAAATAAGTGGGGTCATTGCTGTGGTGCTACCTGACTATGTGGTTCAGATGCTCTCTGGAACTGTCTTGCAGGGAAGGTGTTTTGGTTTGTGTCTGGATGTCCCCGCAATGCCTCATGCAGTCATTGGGCAGGCTTGTAAAGTTTATGATAGTTTCATGGTCCAATGTTGGAATTATGGGTGTGAGTGACACACCTGTATCTGGGTGTATTCTGGGTGTGGAGGTTGTAATTCTGGGTATGTAGGTTGCATACAATGTAAGGGAAGTAAAGAGGCTGCTTACCACTGCTCTTCCCTTTTGCTCTTGTTGCTTTTGCTCTTTTCCACAGCCATGAACAGCTGCCCTCTGCCATGTGACACTCTGCCTTGGAGCCAGCCAAGTTGGACTGAAACCTCCACAAACTGTGAGCTAAATAAACCTTTCCTTCCTTAATTCCAGGTGTCAAGTATTTTGTCTCAGCAATGAGAGAAAAATAACCAAGACAGAGTGTGTAGAAAGATTTGGAGATGCCAACTGGAGAAGAAACCCTAGAATGCTGTAAGCTGAACTTGCTGGAAGATTTTGTTTGGAGCTCATAAGACCTAAATGATAATAGAAATGCAGCCTGTAAAGACCAGGTTCAGGAGGTTTCAGCTGGGAATAGAGGGTGCCTTAGGAGTTGGACTCCATGCAGTGTGTATTATACGTTGGCAGAAAATTTGTCTGCATTTTGCTCATGTCTGGAGATATTGATGCAGAATATAATTGATGGCAGCTGCCTAATTAAGCTGGCAGAAGAAATTTCAATACAGCCTCATGTTTAGGTAGTGGCTCAGTTACAGTTGTGGGCTTTTCATCATCTCTGCCTTGAGAATGAAATGAAAATAGCCCAGCAGAATGATTTTAATAAGTTCTGTGTTTGACCAGAAAGGAAGTTCTGATAAAGTTGGGGCTCATAAAATGGAGCAGAGGAGAGCTTGGTTGCCAAAATGATGAGCATTAAAAAGAAACCAAGTACTTTAGAAAAAAATTGAAAATATGACCTGAGAATATCAAAGGACTCAGCAGGACCTCACCCTTCAAATGCTCAAAATTGGAAAAATAAGAGTTTGCTTTAGGAAGAGAAACCCAATGCACAGATCTCCAGAATGGTTGCAGTCTAGGGAATGGAAATTGATTTCCCAGGATTCAGTTCACTGTGCTCAACCATTCAGGCATGAAGAATCTTCCACAATCATCAGAAAGATACAAAAGGGCTCAGCTACAGCTCGGGCTGGTGATAGTTATTAGCATCATTCATGTGATGCTGGTTTTTGAGGTATGCAGGCACTGCAAGAGTTGTGGAGTCTAGGAGACTTCCACCCATATTTCAGAAGAAGTCCTGGGAGACCAGGCACTGTACCCCCAAGAGGGCACTGTGTGAAGCTGTGGATATGATGCCAAAAAAGTAATGGAGACTCCAGAATAAAGGAGAACATAGGGTTGTGAACCATGTGAGGAAAGCTGCAAGGAGTGAGTAAAGCAGGGCCATGAGTGCTACAGCACCAGTAGTACTGGAGAGTCAGGGATTCCGAAACTCTGGGTTTCACAACTTGCCACAGATTGCCTCAAGTTCTGGATGCAGAACTATGAGATCTAATGTTTACCTTGATGGATTTTGTTCTTGGTTTGATCCTATTCCCTTCTGTCCCTCTATTTCTACTGTTTAGAATGAGAATATTTATCCTGTGCCATTGTATGTTTGAAGTTTAACTTTCTTTTCATTTTTATAGGGCCTCATGCCTAAGAATTTGTCTTAAATCTCAGAGTAAACTTTGGACTTGCAATTTTTAGCAATGCTAAAACTATTAGGACTTTGACAACTCTTAGAGATGAACTAAATATATTTTGCTTCCCCCATTTCCTCCTGGCCCCCAACTCTGTTCACTACTTTTTATTCTCTATTTCTATATATTTTACCTTTTTTCTCTTACCATTTTCTACAACAGGATGGACCTAGAAGATATTTTGCTTAGTAAAATAGGCCAGAAAAATGTACAGTACTGTATGATTTCATTTGTATGTGGAAACTAAAAAAAGTCAATTTAAATATTTAAAAATGTTTCATGGATAGGAACATTTACCTATTCACTATTTAGACACTTCAAATCACAGACATTTGCAGACCTACACTGTTGGCAGCTAGATGAATTGAAAGCAGGAATTATCATCAGCTTTAGCTGCAGACCAGGTAATAGTAGTTGTGGCCTCAAGAGGGGATATATTGCTCTTCATAAAAGATTATTACTGGTAATGTTCCTTATAGGTTTACTTTATTGTCCTGTTCTCACCTATAGTTTTTTTTTAACACAGTTCTGCTTTACTGCCAACATATTTTTCCATGATTTTGATTATTTCAGAAGGTGTAACAACTATTTTGAGGGTTTCTACAATAAAATATGTGAAGTGATAAGTTGAATAAGGAAGGTTTCCTATTGCTTATGTATAATTTCAACATTATTGAAAGTCTGAAAACTAACCACTGTCTATGTATCTGGTAATTCTTCAAAGAAGGCAGGTTTCCTAATTGGAAAATAAATAATATTGTTAATCAGTCAAAACTCTTTAGGGCATTCAGCTATATGCCCACACGCAGCAACTCAAATTGAAGCTTGCACTTGTCAGGGGGTGAATCCATGTAGTTAAAAAAAAAAAAAACTAGCAATACATTCTTTCTTGTCACTCCCACACAGAGAATGTGAAAGGAAACTCATGAGGAGAAGGAAAAAGGTAGAAGATGGAAACTAGTGGTAATTCAGAAAAACTGTCAGGCAAGTAAGAATCTCCCCTCTCAGAAAGCAGGCAATGGATTTGAAAGGGCTAAAATATCAGTGGCACTATTTTGTTGACTCTGATTAAAGTTCCCATTTATTGAATTTTTTAAAAATCCTAATTATTGCTTGTATTAATTTTTAAAAGAAAGATTCACATGATTTTTGATTGATATTTAACATCTAATATGTAAGGCCCTGTTTAAAGCTATTATTTTTCTTCCTTTGATATGCAGAATCAACATCTGTGTTATAAAGACTCTGAATTTCTGTTGTTAGGCTTTGCTATTCTCATTATTAAATCTCTATATCTCCATGTATTTAATAGAAATCTCAAAATAGGCATTCATCACACTCCATTTTCATAAGTGGAAATGAATATGGTTAGCATTTTCTAAAGGTAATCAAAGCAGATGGTATAATAATTGAATCAATACAAAGGGATTAAACTAATCAGATTAGTATTTTCCATTGGCAAAGTGAAGATAAGGCAAGGGTAGGACCTGTAAGAAATTGCAAAAAAGGGCTGTTTTCAGCATTTCAAAATGCTTTTCTATTGCAATTTCGGATGAGCATGAACTTACTACCATACACCTGAGAAAAAAAGTAAGCTATCCAGAAAAATTCTCATCACTTTTTGTGTGTGTTTTTTTTTATTGAAACATTAAACTGTGTCTCTCCTTTTCCTCATTAGGTCTTGATCACTATGGCAGACCTGGGCAGAACCTTCTCAGCAAACAGGCCATTCTCAGCAAACAATGAGAAACCACTAAAAGGACAATCCTGCCCTCAGCAAACAGAACAGAAGACCATAAAGAAATTTGGGACTGGACATACAATCTGTCAGGTGCCAGAATGTTCAGCATTATCTGCACACCTGTGCTGAACATCTTCAGAACACTGACCCCAAACATTGCATGCAGATTCCTTGGGATTACGATCCCCACCACTAAAACCCTAGGCAAACTTAACTTCTCCAGATACCTGCTGATATCATTCTAATCTCAGCCTGCCTGCACCTGGACAGAATTCAATACAGCCTTTTCCTCATAAAAGCCTATGTTTCCAGGTGTTTCCTTGTGCACCATTAACGATGTCTAGAGCATTGATGGCGAAACTTTCAGAGGCCAAGTGCTCAAACTGTAACCTAAAACTCACTTAATTATGACAAAGTGCCAACACTTCAATTAAACCTGAATAATGAGGTTTTAGTTTAGAAAAAAAACACTGTTATCCAATGCTCAGATGGTGCGATGAATTAGCTCGCACGCCACGGGTAAGGGCTTTGTGTGCCTGCGGCAGCACATGTACCATAGGTTGGATACCACTGATCTAAAGAATGTGCTGTTATATGGTAAAGGGTGCCAGTGTAGGAGCAGTGAGCAGCAGGTTTATTAAAAGTGAACCATTAAAATGGACTTTAACTTTCATTTTTCCCTTTCTTTTTTTTTTTTTTTTTTTTTCTTGGTTTTTCTCCGGTACCAGGAACCAAACTCACGACCTTGCGATTGCCAGGCAGGCGCTTTGCCGCTGAGCTAAATCCCCAGCACCCCTTTATTTTTTTTCTAAAATTTTCTTTTTAGGTGGAGAAGTGGCAGGTGGGGAATTAAACTCCACTTAAGGGTTTCTATACCTTCTTTTATCAAAATATTTCCTCAAAGCTCTCCCACCTACTTAATGAGACACATAAACCCCTACTTCCCCACTCCCTCTTACTAGCTGCCAGACATCATACTCTACAGATCCTGTGGCAAGTCACTAGAAATTTCTAAGTATTTTCAGGTACAAGCAATTTAGTAACGACTAATAGAAGAAAAAATGTGAGTAATGAACCAAGTATATTATAATTTATGGGCTTGGAAATGATGAAATTTTTTTTCTTGATGGTTTTCAATCTGCCTCATAGTTTTCCCATACACAATAAACTTTAAAACACCTGGTATTAAAATACATGACCTTCTAGATCTTCTTTCCCTTTTATTATTTAATCTACTGCAATCTACCCTTCTCCCCACTGGGCATGCAATTAACTATTTTTTCAAAGAACTTCTTAAAAATTCTATTGAAAGATCTCTTCTTTTTTAATACTCAGCATCTTTGAGTTCACTGAGATAATGACTCTTCTTTCTAAAGCCGTTTCCTTTCCTTGATTTTCAAAATAGCATAGTATCCTAGTTCTGAAGGGTTTCTGAATGTTTTCTAAAAGGCTTGTGTTCTTCTAACAGTCTCAACATATCCTTTTCCATTGTCCTTTTTTGTTATGTTTTATTTTCATACTTAATTAAATCTAATTCTATGGCTAGTCATTTTTGGTCGTAGGGTGAGTGCCTCCTATATCCCTTCTCATGTTGAGTTCCCTACTAAGCTTAAGAAAAAAAAATATATATTCTACAATAACCTACCCATTTAATACACTGCCAATAAAAATACTGAATGTTTGAATGGATAATTAGAGAAGGAAATTAAGGAAAGGCCTAACTAAAGAATTCTAAATTTCATCTAGATGAATAAATAAAATACAAGAACTAGGAATAACATCATTCCTATGAGTATTAAAGTCACAGGTGCAAGCAATCAAATCTATATATTAGTAAATACAGAATTATGCGCATGTGTGTACATCTGCATATATGGGACTGGACATACAATGTATATGTTATTAAAAGGTACATTTAAACTCACAAGAAAAAGGATGGATTATCAAGCTAATCGTGTATAGACAACTGTTTAACTATTTGAAAAACTAAAAATAGGCATTTTCCTAAGATACTTTAAGGGAAATAGCAAATTTGCAAAAATAAATCCATAAGTGTATCAGAGCCAAGTACAGGTATATATTTGCATGACTGTAGCACAAGGAAAGACTAATCATGGTGACAAAGTCATAAACCACAAACAAAAGTACCAGTAAACCTGATAACATCAAAAATTATAAACAAAATTTCTGAAACAGAAACATCATGAAGAAATGAAAAGACAAACAATTAACTGGAAAATAAAGTGTTAGTGTTCTGAACAGGTTTTAATGAAAAAAAATAGGGAAATTCATGGTTTTCTCTGTTTCTCAATCACAGGTATGAAATGAGTGTGATTTCATTTATATAGTAAGAAACCACAGGGGCTGTCTAGAGGTGACAGCTGGAGGGAGTACTGACTACAAATAAGCTCAAGGGAGATTTATGTAGTTATGAAAATCATCTAAAATTAGACTTTAGTGATGGTGGCAGTTGCAAAACTTTACTAAAAATAATTGAATTCATACTTAAAATGGATGAATTTTATTATACAAAAATTAAAAGCTAGTAAAAGGATCAAGGAAATGGCATCAAAACTTTTTGAAGTCAAATAAAGAATACTTGTCACAGATGAATTGCATAGCTTCATGTTATTATTTGCCGTTTCCTTTAGAAAACTCTCAAGAGATATTATAAAGATGATCCAGTCTAATTTCCTTGCGTAACTTAGGAATATTAAAGAACATCAAATTAAATACTTTACCTAAAGTCACATAATCAGCTAGCAAAAACTAAAGATTTTCATCCAGTTTGCAGACTACAAGGTTATATAGGATCACATTATTTCATGCTCTCTTCCATTACAGTGTGTTTATAATGTTCTACTCTAACGACTAGAATTCTAATAAAACAAAAAAATCAATTACTTAACTGTAATGTATAAATTGTTATAACAGCCAACAATGTTCAGGAGATCATTACTGTGATAGATGAATATTCTTTGTGATGATGTGGGAGATTATTTAGGAGGAAGTATTAAAAAATAAGTCTGTTTCTTTTTAAATGGTTAGTCAAGTGTTTTGAAAATGCTAGATTTGAAGTGTAGTGAGATGAAAAACATGTAAGAATGCATCAAATATACCAAGGCTGTTATTAAGAAGTGCAGCACATAAAGTACCTTGAGAGCTTCCATCGGACAAGCAGATGGATACTTCATCATTTCTGTCATTATCCTCTCCTACTTCAGGCCCTGTTTCCTCTCCTGGTGTGAATGCAGAGAAAGAACCAGACTCAGGCTGCTCTGAGAAATCAGCAGGGCCTCCTCTTGGAGGTGGAACTTCAATACCCATTAAGCGATATTTCCTTCTTCGATTCCCAATCCAAGTCTTTATAAAAGAAATACAAAAGTAAGGTTTGTAATTATAGAAAACATAAAATGATAAATGGATTCTAAATAAATTATGCCTAAAAAGAATAAAGTGGTATATAGAGTAATGCATTTTTTCTTTCAGTAAACTAAAAGAAAAAATTAATTTCATTTCAAAATAGCTTATTAGAAGATGATATTTACCTAAATATTCAGACTTTCAAGAAACTTGTGGACTATTACACATTGATTTTGCTTGTGTTTCTGCTGTGTTGTGGGGGAAAATAATTTATCCAATCTTTCAGAAGAAAAATGAATTGGTTCACCTTCCAGACAAACTATAGTTTATATTTCATTTCCAATCTTGGTTTTCCTAGACGTTATGCACTCTATTAATATTTTTGGCTCAGTAATCATTACCTTATTTATTCAAATACTTCAATATTCATTGTATTTTATTGAGGACCAATTTATAAAACATTTTATTTGAGTGATTTTAGAGTCGATGAAAATATCAAAGATAGGTCTTGCGTATTCTTCATTCTGTTTATTCCAACTATAACATTACTAAATTATAGCACAATACCAAAAGCAGGAAATTCATATTGTACAATATGTGTGTAGAGTTCTATAGCTCTTTTTTATACCATACCTTTCCCACTTCTTTCCACTTTCCCTAATTCCTGGAAAACACTAATCTGTTTTCCATCTCATAGCTGTTTCAAGAATATATGTAAATGAGATTGAGATTTCTAGAAATCTGCTGTTTTTAGCTTAACAATATTTCTCTGGAGAGTCACTCAATTTGTATGTGTCAATAATAAATTACATTTATTGTTAAAAATCTTTCATGATGTGTGTATATCAATGTTTAAGAAGGATGTAAGTTTTCATTTTTTGGTTATAAAAAGTTACTATGAACAGTCACATATAGGTTTTTGTGCAAAAATAAATTTTCATTTTTTTAGGCTAAATTCAAAAGAATGAAATTTCTGCACTGTATATTTACACCTGAAGTTTTATAAGAAAAATTCAAGTTTTTTTCCAGTGGGATCATGCCATCATACACTTTTATGAACCATTTTCAGAGATAGACTTTCTCAGCATTCTTGTCAGCATTTAATATCTATCTATCTACCATCTATCTATTTATTTAATTTTAGCTATTTGAATAGATGTGTGGAATGGTATCTTATCAGGTTCATTTTTATAAAAAAACATCTGCTTTTGCAGAAAGATAAATATAGATAGGACTTCATGCATGCTAAGTAGGTTCCCTATCACTGAGATGTATCAAGACCTTAATTTGATTTTCCTAATTTCTAGGGATGTTGGCCATCTTTCCATGAGCTTATCTGCCATGCATATAACCTCTTCAGTGAAATATGTCATTTTCTAATTGAAGTCCTTCATTGAACACATGGAATAGTGTTTTTTGAGAGTTTTTTATGTATGAGTTCCTTTTCAGATATGTAGTTAGCAAATATTTTATCCTGGGTCTATAATTTCAATTTCTATCCTTTTAGTCTCTTGCAGCACAAATATTTAAAGCTCTAAGTAAGATATATTCATTAAAAGCAACTACAAAATATGGGTTATTGAAACAAAGTTGGCAAATATCTAGTAAGACTTCCAAAGAAAAAACAGAAGACACAAGTTATTAATAAGAGGAATTAGCTACAGGATACTACTATAGACTTTGCAGATATGAAAGCGATCATAAGGAAAGAACACAAATTACTCTGTATACACATTTTAATGATTTAGACTCAACTTGTCTAATATCATGACTTCTATGGGCTGCATTGAGTGCACAGGAATTGTCTTGGTCTTTAAAAAATTTCCTGTAGTTCATACAAGTTAATATAACACTTTTAAAAATACATCAAAACCTGAGGGCTGTAGGTTGAATATGTCTTAATTTACCAATTCCTTGGAAAGTACAACTTTCTCCATAAAAGAAATTTTTGGAAATAGGATTCCAAAACCTACAGTTAACAACAGGCTTAATGGTGAAAAATAGAATGATTTCCACCAAAGAACAGGAAAAAAACAAGATTCATTTTCTGACCAATCATATTCAACATAGTACTGGAGATTTGGGTCTATATAAACAATTTTAAAAAATTAAATAAGAGATGCACAGATCACAAAAGACAAATTAATTTTTCCCTATTTTCACATTATCTGTGTGACAAACTTGATTATTAACTTGACTGGTGTGAGTGCTACCTAGGGGCTTAGAAAGCACACTTCTGGGTATGTCTTAGAGGGTCATGGAGGCATGGGCTTAGAGTACATCTGGCCCCTGCTTCCTTCCTCTCTGGTGCTCTTCCCTTGTGCTCTGCTTCCCAATGGCTATTAAGTGAGCAAGTTTACTCCACCACACCATTCTTACATGATGTTTCTACCTTGAAGAGTGCAGTGTGCACTGAAACCTCTGAAACCTTCAGTCAATTTAAACTTCTTTACGTTGGGATCATCAGGGATTTTGTCCCTCCAACTGGAAAGCTGACAAATACAATAAGATAGTCTATGCAGAAAATTGACAAATACTTAATCAAATTTATCAGAAAGAGAAAAGCACTATCAATGTAATTATAAGAAAAGGTCACATCAAAATGGACCCCACTGAAATTCAGAGACTATAATGAACTATTTCAGAAATTTGTATACCAAAACACTGGAGAACCTGTAGGAAATAGAAAAATTTCTAAGATTGTATGAATTACTAAAACTGAACCGAGAAGATATGATAATCCTGAGTAGACTGATAAAAGACAATAAAAGAGAGACAATAACAATTCTACCAAGTAAGGAAAGTCTAGGACATGATAGAGTCTCTGAAAAATTTTGCTAAAACTTCAGAGAAGATCTAATGCTAATACACCTCAAAATTTTCCTTGACATTGAAAGGGTAGAAGAAATGTTAAAATTATTCCCAGAAACTAAATTTACTCTGATACCACAAGCAGAAAGGAAATTAACAAAAATGAAATCTAAAGGTCAATCACTTTAATAAATATAAATGCAAAATCAGTAGGATACTGATAAATATAATGTAAAAATTATTAAAAGGATTATGCATCATGAGCCTCCTCCCATAGGTACAAGGAAGGTTCAACAAAATTAAATCAATAATTAATGCAAACCAGAAACAGTATCAAGGATATCTCAATAAATGCAGGAAAACTTTGACAAATCTAACATCTATTTATGATGAAAAGCCTGAAGAAAATAGGTATAGACTAACATTATCCCAAACAAGCAAACTCCATTTAAGACAAACCCACTGCCAACACTATATGGAGTAGAGAACAGTTGAAGAATTTCCTCTAAAATCAGGAACAAGACAAGAGTGGCCATTCTCACCACTCTTGTTCAGTACCGTACTCAAAACTTTAGAAAGTGAACATACAAGAGAAAGAAATGCAAATGATGCAAATAGGAATGGATCAAGTCAAACTCTACTTATATGCACTTGACATCATCCATAACAGAAGACCCAAAAATTTCCACAAAATGACCACCAGAACTAATAATTTCAGCAAATTAGCATTATACAAAATCAGTGCACAAAAATCAATAGTTTCAGTATACCAACAATTAGTTCACAGAGAAATACATAAAACAATCCCCTTCAAACTAATTTCTGTTTATGAAAAAATCCAAACATAAATAAAGAGCAAAGCAATAGACATAAAATAGAAAACAGAAAGATAGATTTTTGCAAAAGTGATGGTGCCCAAGAGATAAAAGGAGAAGGAGGACGGGCAGGGAGATGAAAAAAATATTAAGATGTGTTATGTATATGTGCCAACTCCCCAAAAGGAATGTAACCATTATGTAATGTAAACATGTACTAGTAAAAAAAAAAATTGAAAAAAATAAATTAACCTGATGAAGGAGAAGTATATCTATAATGAAAAAAAATATAGTAATCTGAAAAATGTTAAAGAAGCTGCAAAAAATGGATAAACATTCCCTGTTCCTGTTAGGCAGACTCAATATTGTCAAAGTGGCCATAATATAAAAAATGATATATAAAATTAATTCAATCCCAATCAAAATACGTACAGCATTCTTCACAGAACTAGAATAAACAGTCTGTTAGGTTTTATGTCTTAGATGTCCTAGTAAAGCCTTATGGGCTCAAGTATGGGGCTTTTGAAAAATTATTGGATTATCAGGGATTATACCTAGCTTACTGTTAGGAGTTAAGGGCTGTTCAGAAGAGATGGGTCACTGGGAGTGGGGCCTGGAAGTAGTTTTGTCCCTCCCTGGCTGTGCCCCTCCTCTCTCTCTGCTTCCCATCACCATGCTATGAAATACTCTTCTACTGTCGTGACACCCTGCCTTCAAGCCATCTGACTATGGAGTGAAAACTCTAGAAAGTGTGAGTCAAAATAAAATTTTCCTCCTTTAAGTTTCAGGTGTTATATATTTTCTCTCATGAATGAGAAAATGCTTAATCAGCAATGCTAAAATTTATATGAAAGTAGAAGAGATCCGGAATAGCAATAGTAATCCTGGAAAACAGGGCAAAACAGGAGCCATAATGATCTTCGATTTTAAGTTAAATTACAAACCTACAGTGATAAAAACAGCATGGTAACACACATCAAAACAGGCATGTGAATGAAATGAATAACATTGAGAATGTAGAAACAATGCCAGGCACCTTCATCCATCTGATCTTTAACAAAGGGGCAATAAACATATACCGGATAAAAGATACCCTCTTTAACAAATGTTTCTGAGAATACTGTCTATCCATGTGTTACCCTGCCTTAAAATAAAATTAAACTGGACTAAGATCTAGATATAAAAGCATAAACAATCTGCTTAAAGATAAGACAGGTAAACACCAAGAAGACATATGCACAGGGAAGGGCTTTATGAAGAAAATTGTAATTGAATGAGAAATATCACCAAAAATCAACAAATGAGATTACATAAATTAAAAACCTATGGGCCAAAGGAAAAAAATGGACTACAGAAAAACCTTAAGAATGGGAA